AAAGACACTTATCTCACAGTATGCAGGCAGAGGTACAGGCAGTTGGGTGGAGGTCAGACCAAACCCAAGGAGGCACATGTGAATCCAACACAAAGAAGGGGGAGGGGGAGGGGGAAAGGGGGAGGGAGCAACTGAGATGATGGTATGGGGGGAGCAAGGCACTAACCCACTGGGGGGGGGGGGCCCGTATTGGTCATGCCTTCACAGAATTGGGAGTGTGCATACAGACCCCACCATGGTGCACCAAGCCAGGAGAGCAACGTAATCACACAAAGGATTGCATGAAAAGATTGGGCTACAGGGCCGGCCCCAACCAGAGCCAATCTGACCCCCAGCCCTAGAAGCATGTGCAACAGAGAAGAACACTAAACCTTCAGGTGGGGGAAAGGGGCCGACTTACCACGCCCACAGGGAGGCAAATCAAGAAGGAAAAAGAGAAAGGGACAATCAGCCAAGACTCCAATCAGCACACCAACCCCGGAGGATGATGTCCCTGCACCAAGCTGCTAAGGCACAGAGAGGACCGTAGGGCCGCCAGCACATCTTGTCCCCTACCTGGAGCATCCTGCAACAGAGGACAAGCATGGGCACACAGCAGGGAGGTAATGTGGTCTGAACTCCACCCACCCCCACCCCCACTGCAGCGGGACGAACCAAGAAGGGAGCATAACAGATCAGCAACTGGAGCAAAGCCAATGCACAAAGCCCCTAAAGAGCCCCCACAGTAGACTTTGGGCTAGGAGGGGCAACCCCCAGAACTCCCCCAGGACCAGTGGGGAGGGATTCATAAAGGCCAGCGGACCTGGAACTATGTATGGTTTTTCATTGTTGCTGTTTTTCTCTTCTTTTTCAACCTTTTGTTTTCTCATTGTTTGGGCTAGGACATTGCTGGTTTGCCTACTTATATAAGACAAACATGGGAAGCAAGCTCGGGAGAAAACAATGGGGCCAACAGCCCTGGAGGGTCTTGTGGGGAGAAGGGTAGGGGGGTAGAGAGGGAGAGGGTGTGGTAAGAGGGTGTGGCAAACAAAGCCATAGAAGGGGGAACAACTAGGGAATTAAAACCAGCCTCTAGGAGGTTGTAGAGATCCTGTGGGTAGTAGAGCAATATCAATCTAGCTGAGAAGAAGTACTAAGGTGGAAGAAGGGAGAATGTGATGGGAGAGCATATTTTATAAATATATTAATCCATAAAAATAGAGGTATTAGTCTATTATATATATTTATAAGGCAAGACACTGAAGCTGTGGACAGGCCTTGGGCCTCAGCTCATACCCTGCTGAAATACAAGAACATTTTGCTCTAACAAAATGGCATTTTGTGATGCACACACACACACACACACACATGATTGCTGAAGACAAAATGGGTGCATAAGCAAATGTGGCGCTAACAATGGATGGTGCCCGGCTATTAACAGATATAGCGTCTGGGGTCTTGAAGGCTTGAAGTTAAACAAGCAGCCATCCAACAGTGAAGCCACAGGCCCACATGGAAGAAGCAAACAATGAACCATGTTCTGATGATAGGCCCTGAACAGATGAAGTGGTCATCGTCTCCATTACACACATAAAGTCGCCTGAAATAAACATGGGTCCCAAACAAGCGGAGTGTGTTCACTTTTCAGATACTGTGGAAGGACAAGTCCTCTCACAGCCTGACCGTTGTCACGCTGCCCCTCTCACAAAACCACGCTGGAAGCTGCCCTGGATGCGGGAGTATAAAAGCAAAGAAAGTCTCCTATTGAAGGGGGATGAGACCCCTAGCTCACAGAGTCGTTGAAAAATTACATGAATGGAGGGAAAGCAAGGAGACCAGTGTCCGGCACATAAGTGTTAGCTATTATCATCATCATCATCATCATCATCATCATCATCATCACTAGTATTGTCATCTAAGAGCTCCCAGTAGAGCAAGGAAGGGTGAAAAGGAAAATTAGTCTAAGACAGTGTGATAGTTTTGTGTCACCTTGCCTGGGCCAGGACTCTTAGTGGCTTGGTGATTAAAATGTAGTACCCCCTCATAACCAATGTACCACCAAGTCTCCTCAGAGTGATCTTATAAGACAGAGCAACACTGCCTTATAGGACAGGGTTTCCAAGGCCTTAAATCTTTAAGAAAGCAAAAGGTGACATTTATCTCCCACAGTGTATTGCAGGGACTAAAATGGAGGTGGGCACAAAACCCTGAGGGCACAGCCCAGAGTGGTTAATAACCTTCCGGATGGATGGAGTTGGTCCCATCTTGGTGGTGAAGAGCTCTCCTAGAACCAGAGAGGGGATGTAGCCTGCCATAAAGCAGTTTTATCAGATAGAGCTCAGGAAGGTTAAAGAGAATGCATCATGCAGGAAAAGATAGGCAACAACAGGAATGAGAGAGGGGAGCCCCAGAGAAAGAAGGAATGCCCAGAGCAGCCTAGGAATAATAGATTGGGACCAACCTGAGGAAGCCCATTGAAGATGTACTGGGAGCAGGAAGTAATGAGATTGACACAGTAGAAAACATGGTTTGGAAAAGGTGGTGACTGTTGGCTGGGGGACTAGCTACTATCTTGTAAAACAGAAAGATGATGAGGTCTATACTTGGGCCAGAACAGTGGGGGTAGGGAGAAGGGAGAGATGCTGCAGTCTAATAGAAAGAAGAAAACACGTTTATATATATATATATGTAATAATGTGTGCATTACAAAATCATTTATTAAACAAAAATATCAAATATGAAGCTATTGTTTGTTAACAGTCTCCCCAAAGATCGGTACACCTCTGAAGGTGCTGTTTCCATTCTCTCCCCCTTCCCTGAAGCATGCTGCACTCTTGAATCTACACATCAGAAGCATCCTTAGCATCCTTGAGAGGCTCAACTCCTGTTCCTTTTAAATATTCATTGACTTTGGGAAACAAAACCAAGTCTGGAAGGGCAAGATCAATACTGCAGGGTGAATGGATTTTTAAAAATGATTATTGTTATTCTGTAAATGCGTTGTATTATTTTTCTAAAGCACTTTTGAAAAAATAATTTTTATTGTATGGGGGTTTACATGACAAATGTTTACATTTCAGATCTCCCACTCTGGATTCCGTAGTTTAAACTACTAATCAGCGACCCCCAATAGTTTACCCTTCACCTGCTCCTTTAGTTCTCATCTTTCTTAGGGACTCCAAAGTTTGTTCCCTTTGGTGTCAGAGGCTTTTTGCCTTGTTTTGTTGTCTGTGTGATTATCAGTGGTGGTCTCATAGAATAGTTGCTCTTTTGTAATTGGCTCACATCACTCAGCAGAATGGTCTCCGGATCCATGAGGGCATGTGGTGCTTCACTATTGTGACACTGTTTACTATTGATGCATACTATTTCATTGTGTGCATGTACCAGCACTGTCCCACTGAGGGGCATTTAGGTTGTTGCCGCCTCCTCGCTATTGAAGAGTATTGCACCGAAGATGGGTTTGCAATGCTCATGTGCCCTTTCTGACTTTGTTAGTCTATATCCCAGTGGAAGCACTGCTGTTTCATAAGGAATCTCCACTCCCGGTTGTCTGAGGTAATACCATCACGCTTCGCACAGTGATTGCACAGTTGTAGAATCCCACCGGCAGTGTGTGAGGCTTCCGGTCTTCTTTCCTGCTGTTGTTGCTTGCACTTGGGTGTCATGGTCAGTGTAGGGCAGTATCTCATCCTTGTTGGAGGTAGCATCTCTGGGATGGCTGGTGATCGTGAGCATTTCTTCATGGATGTCACCACTTAAAAAAAAAAAAATTATTGTCATATAGTGGCAGGCCCTGAGCACAGGTAGGGTCATAATGTGCACACCCAACGACATTCTCGAAGGGCAGTCCTTACTACCCTGGAGCAATGAGCAGATGCATTGCTGTGGTGGGAAAAAAATTAAAAAAAACCCTCACCACAACCAGCCTCTTTCTTACCAACACAGTTTTCCATTTTTAGCCCAGCGACTTGTCAGCACAGCCCACAGTGACTGTGACCAAGAGCCTTAGAGCTCTGGGTTCTGGCCTAGGTGATGGGGAGATGGGGAGCAGTTAGCAGGCTGCAGGAAGTCTTGACCTTGGAGAAAAGAGAGGCGTCCTTCACTTCCCCTAACTGGCAGCCAGGGGGCCCAATCAGAAGAAAGAGGCAAGTCTGCGCCCCGCCGACCCGAAGTGGTCCTCTGGCCTCCACTGTCCCTCAGGCTGTGGGGAGTCCGACTA